GGAGTGGTAACAACCTTGCAGTCTTCATGTACCTGCCTAACAGTACGAACTGTTCAAGCACAAGAACTTCATATATGAATATACCAATTAGAGCAGACAGTTCCAGATCCTATCCTAATAAATACGTCAGAAAGTTATTGTGTAAAGGCGAGTATATACTCATATGCTCTTACCCAGATCAGTTCGGAAACAAACTTTGTCCCATTACACGAATGCAATGGAAGTGGTATGGAGAAGTATTTGAATGTTTCACATTCTAGAATACAAATCCTAGAGAAAGGTCTCCTCCAAAAAAAGATTTGAGACTTCCACAAGTCAGAAAAATATAAGAAATGACAAAACTGCACCATTTTCTTCCAGGCAGCTTTAAAGTTTTTCATATTCAACTCGTCAGCAATCTCTTACCTCTCTAAATTTTAGGATTTACTAGAAACCTAATACAGAACAGAAAATAGAGGCTATTTCAAAAACTTTGAGTTGTCTTTCCATTTCTGGTACCTTCTGTATTTTCTGTTTGGTAACAGTACTTGCGCTTACCTGGTTTCAACAAAACCATGAACTGAAGAGCATATTCTGCTTCCAAACAGTATTAATCAGCTAGAAAGTGATAATCCACCTGAAGGAAATATTAATTCACTACTGATTGTCCAACCCTACACATTACGAAGAGAAGATTTAAGGCTTCTGGTTGCAGATCCTGGACTATGCAAATTTGGAAGTGGTAGAAAGAGACATAACAATACTGGAATTTCCCACTGATATGAATGAAACGAAGCAGTTTCACCATGACAAAAAGTGATTAATCTTCAACAGGAATCAGAAAAATTATTTACTGTTCCACTATAAGGCTGAAAGATTCTGACTCTCACCTGTAAGAATGGGTGAACAGGAGAAAACTATTCAGTTTTCATGAGAGAATAATGAAGACTGCCCTAGTGACTCTCAAAACCGAGTATACAGAGAATTGTGCCATTTATGTTTTGAATTCTAGGTCATTTCTGTTCTTTCTCTTCTCATTTATACTGTCAAGAAAACTAAGTAAAATCAGGCTTGCTCCATGTTATAAAAACTTGAATTACCTTTTATCCACTTTACAGTTCACACTGCAGATGAGTCATCTCAACTGAGAGGGCCATCTCTGCCCCTCAGACACTTTGTATCTCACAGAACGCAGGCTGTCTCGGGTTCAGTTTGATCCCAAATCCTCTGTGGATCTCAAGTTCAGTACTGAGGCCTTGCTTCCCAGAAATAATCTGGGAAACAATAAATAATGAAGAGAGGCATAGTAAAAAAAGGGCAATCTATTCATTAGTACTTGACCTCCTGAGGATGCAGACCATGCGTGTGCTCCACACACAACAAAAACTTTCCAGTGCTGCTTCCATTTTTCCAGTCCATGTAGACTGAGTTACAATAACCTAAAACAGAGTTCCTGGGTTTCAGTTCAGTTCATCGACAGCTAGCTAGATGCATGCTGGCAAATACATTAGGGACTTCATAGCAAAAAGGTAAAGTTTTCCCCCATCAGAATCAATAATGTTTTCTTCAGGTTCTGAGTTTTGTCCAGTCTTGTGCGGGTTTCCATAATATTGTGGACAGCAACGTTGATAGTAAAATGGCAGAAAGTGCTATGGAAAATCGTGTCATGAAATGATCCACCATGAGAGTTGCATTAAATAAGTGGAGAAATATTTACAAAGAAAATTTTTCTTCTGGTAACAACAAAATCTATTCTGGTCACAACAAGCTGTTCCACAAGCTAAAATACTTCATTCCTTTCTAAAGGAATCTCAGAGTGTTCCCATAATGTTGAAGTCTCAAATCAAGAAAAACAGATTTTGGCTCAAAAGGTCATGTTTTTCCCTTTAATTTAAAAGCACACTAAAGCCAGAGACTGTTCTTCTGCAGGAAGCATACTTTTTAATATGAGTTAAAAATCCCAATTCTTTATAATTTTTATCTATCCAAAACAATTGGATTAGAGGTGGACTTTTTAAGGACAGTTTAATAAATTTGTTTCAGTGTAACATTAAAATTCTATTTTTCAGCTTGACCCTTTCATAAAAATAACTATTGAAATCCTACTCAGATGTATGTAAATGGATTGTTCAGAGGTCAAAAGGCTTCAGAAAATAGTTAAAGCAATGCCTTACAGATTAGCAATTATAGCAATATAATTACAGCTACAGACAGGACAGGCAAGGAACAAAGTTAGTTAATGAACAGGGTTCACAGAGATGACTGAAGTGAGTCCTAAAAATACCATACCCTACCTGACAGGTGAAAAATGAAAGTCTAAAATGCACCAATACCAATTCTTCCCTTGTAAAGCTAGGGAACTAATAATGCAAGATAAGGTGTTTATCCATGTTGATGTAAATATTTAAGGAAAAGAAAAGCATGGAATTTCTAAATCTGATATAATGTTCTATGCTATATTTTTACTCTTGTATACCACAGTCAGATCACCATGCATAATGAGCAATGCTACAGTAAAACGTACAGCACAACTGAGGATGACAGCTAAGCTCCATTCACAAATTGGCAGCACATCTTTCCTTTTCGTAGAGGTCGATAGGTTGCATGATTCCTTGCAAAAAGCACATGAACCTCTCGCCCTAGGCAGATAGCTTCGATATTCTTACAAAGCAGATGTTCCCGAGAAAAACGGAAGCGCTATAAGAAATGGTAATTGATATAAAATACTTTTAACAGCCAGTTTTGCTCAAGAGCAAGCAGCTACGTTATGCAGCAGCTGATCCTTTTTTTTTTTTTTGGTTTGTATTTTTTAGCATGAGGTACTGCACATGAACAGTCCAATCTGAAGTTAAAACAATGGCACGCACAGTCAAAGGTGAATCATCGTCCGAGAGCACTGGATGCTTACTCTCCTATTTACTCATCAATGAAAGTGGGTATTTTTTATGTTCACTGCTAGCCCCAATAGCTGTGAGCAGATGATGAGTAAGATCTAAATCAGGATCAAACCTTATGGATTCTATAGTGAAAGATTTTCCAGACAAAAGAGCAATCACCTATCACCAGCTTCTGACTACGGACCAAACATGGGATTATCAGCTATTCTCAGTTCTCCAGCAGCAATGCTAAATTTCTTATTTTTGCTCAATTTTTTTCATTCACTAAGGGACTAGAATATGTGGAGTCTGTTGCAGGTTGTAGATCTGCTAAAATTTTCTAAGAGCCACTTCCCATCAAGCAGATGAAAACCGACCTGCTAGATATTCACACTAACCAAAACAGATGGCAAAGATCACTGAAAGATTTTCATGTACTGCAGAAATAGAAAAGGTTAGACATCAAGAAGCCAGAAGAGAAGCAAACAAACGAACTTCAGCCTGTTCTGATAGTCTGCAACAGTAAATTTGAAAATTGGTACATTTTCTCTCTGCTGTTATTAGAATAAATTACAACTCTGTGTATTCTCTGTCCATCTCTCTTTAACTGTATGTTCAGTACAGAAAAGAAATTTAGCGTGACCTCTCTGGCTGTTATCTGCTAAAACCTTTCCCAAAATTGTTAAAAACAGAAGACAGTGTGATCACAGGCTATCCATTTCCATGCTCCAGAAATATTATTTAGCCTAGAAAGGAAGTCTTAGAAAAGAACTTTGTTCAGGTATATTACCAAAAGTACAGTCAAAACAACGATCAGCTCTTAACGTTCAAGAAACAGCATCAACCCATAACCACAGCAAGCCACAAGAATTCAGATTTGGTTATGGACAACTCATGATAGACTGAAAGCCATTCTGCAAGTACATTACAGAGCAGCTTCTTTGAAGTGAAGCTCGCCTGATCTCCACAACAGTACACAAGGTCTCTGATTTCCTGCATATATGCCACATAATAGTATATTTATACAAAAAATGCAAATTTATTACCTCCTGTTTTAAAAATGTTGCGTTCAAGGAGCTTGTTTGTCTTGTACCAAACATGCATTCAGGATATAACACAAGTTCAGATACTTCCCTCATTTACCGAGGAGCTTTCATCATGCATCACAAATCAGGCTGAAAAATGTCAAATAAACTGAAACATATTAGAACGATAAAAAACATTCATTAACACCATGGCTCTCCTGTAACTGTACAAATAATAACCACATCAGTACTTGCTGATTAATCAACCTAGAAGCAATCTGCAATGTAATCACTCAGCAGAGCAACAAAGAATAGCAAAGGAGGAAATTCAGGGCTTCATTGTCTTCCTGTAAGAAAGATCAGTAGACAAATTTCTTTTTACTAGTAACACAACAATTATTGTCAGATTTAAACACCTTGCCTTGTTATGACACTGTCAACACAAGTTACTCCCTTCAAAACCTGAAAGGATAAAAACCTGTGATGCTGTGCAGAAGCGGTATACCAGCATACATAAAGAACACCACTTTTCATAGTGTAGAGAGTTAATAATTTATCTTTTTACAAGTTAAGTACACATATTAGCAGAACCAAAAGGTAACACTTTTAGTCTTCATTGCTTCTCTTAATGACATTTCTTTGTGAGACAGTAAACTTATAAATGGAATGAAACGCCCTGACAGGCATCAGTGTTGACTACAAGACACAGCAAGAACAAAGTGAATTTTCTAGGCTTCTCTCCAGAGAACTCTGTAGTACTTGTTTTCCAGCTCAGCATTAAAGAAATGTTTTACATACACTACTACCTTGAGTATTTCAGAGCCATCCAACAGAATTTATACTCATGTAGCAATGGAAATTTGATACAACTGAGATGCTAGGATGCAGA